CGAAGGAATAAAAGGAATACCGCCATTGGAGTCTGTGGCTTGCCGGCGAGGGCGTTTTGCTCTTATGTCCGGCGTGTGACGGTGGACAGCCTCGGGAGGAATATTGTGTGACATCGTGGATTCGAATTTGGCGGTGGACGGGAACGAGGATCCAGAAATAGCTGTAGGTTTTTTTCCCCCTTGTTTTGGGCCTTTTCTTTGGAGGCCAGAATCAGGATTAAGATTAATCGCGTGTAGTCAATTAGGCTAGTAATCTTGGGCCTTTAAGAGGTCCAAAAAATAAAGTATTGGGCTTTATATGGCCCAAAAAAGAAAGGCCTGGCTCTATGTAGTTTTATTATTGACTTTTTATATGGCTTTGAATTTCAATTGAAGTTGAATTTACATTAAAAGAATTGGGGAAAAAACACATTGAAGCGGAATTAACTTACCAAAAATAAGTATTGTTTTTTAATTTTCTGATTGAGCGATAAGACCTATTTAATTTAGATAGATTAAGGAAGTTATTTAAATTAATTATTTGTCAAAAACGTGTATTGGTTTTTTAAAAATATTCTCCTAAATCATTTGTATTAAAACTATCTTGATAGAAACTTTTTTAACATGTGTAATTAATAGGAAAATTTAAAAAAAATAATAAATATGAGTGATAAAGTGAATTGAGACATTATATTTAGGGTCAAATCCAACATCCTAATTAACTTTCATATTAAACATGAGAGGTGGTGTTATTTTTTTTTGTTTTGATTGGAAGACATTTTGGAAAATAATAATAGAAATTGGGAAAGCTTATCATTTAAATTAGTTTGAACTTTGAAGTGGACTGTGTAAAGACGACGAATAGTGAATACTAATTTTGGAAGCTAGGAGTTCCTCACAAAATTAAATTATTATTATTATTATTATTATTATTATTATTATTATTATTATTATTTTATGACGAGTTCATGGCGATGCTTTTCGATCTGCTCATCTTAGTCAGCTTGATGAGTCTATGCTGAGTATTTAATGCATTTTAAGCATAAAATTTTTATATTGAAAATAATTCTATTTAAGATATTACCGAAAACTAAATATAAATACAATAAAAAGCTATCATTACTATTTGCCTTTCTCACTTTGCTCTATTATTGTTATTACCGTTAGTTTTTATATAGAAACTAACAATGCTAAATGAGAAAAATTAAAAATATTTGATTAAGAAAAAAAAATATAAGTATTAATTTAAAATTAAAAATTGAGAAAAAAATAGATGCTCACAAAATGGTTTTCCTTAAAAAAAATGCAACAACCAAAGTTAACATTTGGCCAATGTTGCAAAAATGGTCAAAACCATGTCAAAACTATTAAAAAAAAGTCAAAATTATTATAAGAGTAATCAGCATGTCCTTCTAAAATTATATAGGTATATTTTGTCATTTTCCTATTTTAAAATGACTTTGAGTAAAATTGGGGTGCTTAGTAATTTAGAATATTAGTTTTCTTGGAAAAATATTTAAGAACAAAAAACCATGAACATGTTTGTTTGAATAAAGTCTCTGTCTTTTTTGTTTTTGAGAAAATTACAATGAAGTCCTAAAAAAATAATTACAAAACAAATTTTAATAGTTGTTATTCTCTACTTTGAAACGTGTCATTATAAACTACTTAGGTTGTTATTGAGATTTTTAGTAATTGTTTTCCTTTTTTAGAACTTTATTATAATTCTCTTTTTTTTTTTTGCCAGCAAAAGGTCTTGAACTTAAGAGTTAGGACTGCGCTTTTCTGTTTTTCAAAAGCCACTTTTGATTAATGAAATATTTTTCAATGCTGACATGTAAAGTTTAATTTTTGAAATAACCATAACTATTAAAAAATTATTATTTAAGATTAATGATTTTAGAGTAAAAGAACTAAAAATATTCTATACCTCATATTCTTAATATGATAGCTAGTTGACTAATTTGAGTAAATTAAAAAGTTTGTTAAGTTTGTAATTTGTAATAGGGTTGATACAATATTTAGTCCTTTAAGTTTACTCTTATTTTGGTTTTTATCCCTCAAATTTTAAATCATAAGTTTTGGTTGTTCAAGTTTCTTTTCATTTAAAATATTAGTCTTTATAATTCAATAAAAATCTGGACTATTTTGTCCCTAAAAGGACCAAAACCAAAATGAGGGCAAATTTGAAAGACCAAAGATTATATATATTAACCCTTTGTAATAAATATGTGTTATTTTTCTTAAAATACCATTGCTAATAATATGTATTTGTTAGAACTATCATTTGATAAAATATTTAACATGTATAAATACTATAGGGATTACTTCAAAAAAATAAATAAATATGAAAGATAAAGTGGATTGGAATCTTATATTTAGAATCAAATTAAATGTCAAACTAGCTTTTATATTAAGGATCGGAGGTAGAACTTTTTTAAGTTAAGAAACTAAATATATAACGTTAAAGGATTAAATGCATATTTTTGCCAAACAATATTATTGTTACATATAAATTAAAATTTTTTATATAAAAAGTTATTAATTGAAAAAAAGTTATGCATATAAGCATATTTGGCGAAAAAGAAGAAAAATTATGCAAATATTTTCGGTAAGAAAACTAAATGCTAATACTTCCACACACAAAAATTAAGGGGAAATCCCAATAGTATTGAGATACGAGTACTGATTTGTAATTTGCAAATCTTGAGAAAAAGATCAGTTTTTTTACTAATACCCTGTAAACAGTAAAAGAAATTCGTCAAATGCTATATGATGAGAATTATTTCCCCAAATGCTATTTGTTTAAAGTCTGAACAACCCTTAAAAGTTTAGACAAAAACAATTTGTTTTTTATACTCGGAGAAAGATTGTTTCTTATTAAAAAAAAAAATCGGAGGTAATATCAGATTTTATGCTGTGAACTACTATTTTGTACATAAATCAAGGCATTTAATTTCGGAAACAACAAGGTTGAAAAGTAGTTGTACTAACTTGGTGAATCATATAACAAGTTGCTAATTTACACCATATATATTTTGAATTTTCATTTAGTTTTGATTATCGATAAATCTTTAGTCAAATCATGGGTGACGATCACCTAACAAGTTGTCTGGCAGTTCACTTTTGTTGCCGTGGTCAAGGTTTAATTTAAAGCCCTGGAAAAAACAAATGAAAGCGGGCCCTATCGTTTGATTCCCTCTTTTTTTTGGGTAAGATTAGTAGTTTCTTCAGATAAAGGACGGCCCAACCTGCAGCAGCTGGGCCCACAAGTCTTTTTTCCTATGTGGGCTTATGCTCATGAAGCCCCCCATCTATGATCTACTTAAACATAAGCCGGTGTGTTTTTGTTTAAATACACGCACAATGACACAAATTAAAGTATTGTATGGTCCAGAATTAGGTTTTTTTTTTGTGAAAAAAAAGGGTCATTAAAATTTTTAGTTCCTCAAATTTGTCTCAATTATCAATTTAATTTATGAAATTTAATTGTTATCGAATTTCATAACCATGCAAGATTAGTCTTTATGTAAAAGAAAAATAACACCATAGATTGGGTTTGTTCCTGGAAGAATGGGTTCAGATAATGTGATGATTGCGCAGGAAGTAATACACTCCATGAGAACTATGAAAGGCAAAAGAGGATTTATGGCAATCAAAATCGATCTTGAAAAGGCTTATGATAGGCTTCGATGGGAGTTTATTATTAATTGCTTGAAAGAGATTAATGTCCCTCCAGAGCTCCTTAATGTTGTCAGTCATTGTATCTCTTCTCCGAAAATGCAAATTCTTTGGGAAGGTAGCAAACTAAGGAATTCTCGCCATCTAGAGGTATACGCCAAGGTGACCCATTATCCCCTTATTTATTTGTCATTTGCATTGAGAAACTGGCTCACCTGATTCAGGAAGAAATTCAACATAAAAACTGGAGACCAATAAAACTTACCAAAAAATGGTCCTCCTTTATCACACCTTTTCTTTACTGATGATCTTATCCTCTTTGCTGAGGCTTCCATAGATCAAGTTGTTGTGATTAAGAAGTGTCTAGATGTTTTTTGCAGTGCTTCAGGGCAGAAAGTAAGCCAAAGTAAGACGAGAGTGTTTTTCTCTAGTAATATGAATCATACTCGTACTGCCCAACTTAGTGAGGAGCTCGGTTTTCTTAGCACGTCTGATCTTGGGAAATACTTAGGAGTTCCCCTTCATCATGAACGGGTCAAAAGGAGTACGTATCAATTTGTAGTAGATAAAGTCAAGATGAGATTGAGTAATTGGAAAGCTAATGCAATTTCTTTTGCTGGTCGCCATACTCTTAGTAAAGCTGTGGTACAAGCTATCCCGACCTACCCCATGCAAACTTGTGCTTTGCTTGCTCACACATGTGATGATTTGGATAAACATGCAAGAAATTTCCTTTGGGGTTCTTGCAATGAGAAGAAGAGGGTCCATCTTGTGGCCTAGAATGAAGTCTGTAAGGAGAAAAACAAAGGAGGCTTGGGACTACGTCATATGAGGCTTTAGAATCAAGCTTTTATGATGAAAGCTGGATGGGGTCTCATGAAAAATAAAGATGCTTTGTGGGTGAAAGTCATTCGGACTAAATATCAATGTGGAGATGATTTATTTCCTAAGATTGATCTCTTTAAACCTGGCTCGTGCCTCTAGAAAGGTCTTAAAGAAAGCTGGGAACATGTGGTTCAAAACTCCTAGAGAGTGGTTAATAGAAGAGGACTCAAGACATTCGGTGGAATCACGAGAAACATGGAAATTTTTCGGTCAAGTCAGCCTACAAAGTTTTCAGTAGAGACACAGATACGACTCAATCTTACTGGAATAAGATTTGGAGACTCAATACCCCGCAACGCTGTAAAACTTTTATGTAGCTTACCTTACATAACAAGCTATTGACTAATGAAGCTTGTATTAGAAGAGGAATTAATGTTGAGCCTGAGTGTATATGGTGTCAACATGGAATAGAAGACTCGCTTCATATACTTCGAGACTGTCCAGAGACTAAAGCCATGTGGCTTTCGGTTATAAAGCCTAGTATGGAAGCCAGATTCTTTGGGTGCAATCTTAAAGACTGGTGCTGCATAAACTTAAGGAATCAAAATGGGGATGGTCATGGCCCCTGGAGGGAGGTCTTTGTGGTTATCTGCTGGCTCCTTTGGAAACGAAGGAATGAGAGAGTGTTTGAAAACAATTTGACCCACACTCACGAACTTATTAGCAAAGCTCGAGCAATCGTGTCAAGCTTCAACAAGGCCAAAGTTCAACTACAAAGGGTCAATATTAGTGGTGCTGCTGTTCATGAGGAAAGGAATACCAAAAGGATAGACAATGATACCATTACTGTCCAGGTGGATGGAGCCTTCTCGCAGAGGACTGGGAAGGCAAGTTGTGGAGGAACTATTCGTAACACAGATCATCAAATTCAAGAAGCTTTTATGTTCAGTATGATAAACGGTGACCCTTTGGTTGCGGAGCTGTGGGCGTGCCTTATTGGGCTCAAGCGTGCATGGGACAGGGGTCACAGAAAAGTTTTGTTACTTAGTGATTCTTTAGAAGTAGTCAGGCTTATAAATGATGGTGCACCAGAACTTCATGAGAACTAGGAATTGATTCAGAATTGTCAGAACTTGCTTCAGAGAGAATGGCTTGTGGAAGTCAATCATTCAAGGAGGGAGAACAACACTGAAGCTGACAACCTTGCTAAGAGAGCTCTATCCCTTCCGGTTGGACTCCACCTTTTAAGTTCAACAGATGCTTTTGATTTTACTTCTTGTAATGTAGATGAATAGTTTTATTTTCCCTCTTTATCAAAAAAAGAAAAAGAAAAATAACACCATGCAAACCAATTATGCGCGATTGTGAAGTTTTAGGGATTTAGATTGATGAAAATTAAATTTCATGAACCAATAAGTACTAAAATTACACAATATTTTGTTGAATTTATGGTTTATAAAAAGGAACGAAGGAGTAGTAATGAATCTATGACAAACCAAGGTGCAGCGGAAGGACAATTGTGGCAAGCCTTTGAAAATAGAATAAAGATCGGATCGGCGCCAACATAGCATAACACGTACCTTCACATTTCTATATCATGACACTATATATATATATATATATATATATATATAAGCATATAGTTTAAGAGTTCAAATAAAAATGAAACGACAAAAATTACAGTCTCACGACATAACGTAACAGAAATCGAACAAAAGATGACGAGAATAATTGAAATGATTCAGATCATCTTCTCCGGCCAACTTGGGCCAGAGCGAGCAAAACATGAAACTAAGAGGATCTGTCTTGATATGATTTAGTTGATTAGGATTCAATGAACGGAATCTTCTGTGGCAGTGGCCGGAACCCTAGTTCAAGACTCGCCTGCCATATTTTCTCAACATTGAACATCACTTCTCCGCACTCATTTACGTCCCAACCCTTCAAGCCATGCAATATTCCAGCAATACGCCATGCACTCATCACCCTTCTTGGCAACCAGTTCTGTGACATATATAGTGGAACTTATTAATTCACTTCTTCCTTAGAAACCCCCAAAAAAAAGTGTTGTGTGTGGGTAACTGACCTCACAAGAGTGTAAATTTTGAAAAGAAGAGGGAGCTATCACAGCAGGTGTGGTGAGATAAAAACAGTCTTTGCGCAATTCCTTTAGAGGTAATTGGGTCAATGGTATGAACAACGATCCTTTTGGTGCTTTCATTTGTTGATTCGCCTTCCATTTCTCGCCTACTAACCATATCTGAATCAATTTGCAACATAATATTATACTGATGTTAGATTACCATATCAATAATTGAGGAGTGCGATGATGTTAGGTTCAAAAATGAGTTTAATTACTTTTGCAGTGTCCGATGTCGAATGGACCAAATTCTTTCTCAACTCAGGTCTGCTTATCCTTAATTGATGATTCTCAAAGCTGTCTTTGCATGTTGTTATTACCTGTAGGAAAGAACTGATTAATTTCAGATCCTGATTATATGACATATATATTAAGTTTAGATTTAGCTAAGATGAGTGGATTGTTGCCTCCAATATACTACCTCCAATTCTTAATATAAGAGCTAGTTTGATTTTCAATTTGGTCCTAAATATAAAATCTCAATCCATTCTATCTTTGTATTTATTCATTTTGCCTAAAGTAATCCTTGTAATAGTTGTACATGTTAAAGGTTTCATCAAATGGTAATTTTGGTCAATACACATTATTAGCAAGGGTATTTTAGGAATGACAACACCTATTTATTACAAATAACTAACTTAACAAACTTCTTTAATCTACTCAAATTAGTCAACTAGCTTCTATATTAAGGACTGAAGCTAGTAGTAAATTATAAAATCTTTTGCTCGAGTCAACATTACACATTAAAAAAAAGTTAGGCAATTATATAAGTAAAATTGAACATACCTTGATATTTCTTTGATATAAAGCAGTTGCAATAGCAAGAGAAACCTTGGTGCAAGAACCACAAAGAACCACTTGACTTGTTTGTTTTGGAATGCTATTAAGAACTATAGCAACCACTAAGCTACTTCCATCCACAATCTTCACCTTTAGCTGGGGGTACCTTTGTATGTAAATCTCTCCACATTTGTTAAGCTCCTCTCTCTTTACATCCACACATATTCAAGTCATTAATTAGAGTGAGAGTATATTCAATTAATTAAGCTTTAAATAGTTTTTCAAAAAAATTGAAACTTGCCTGATTTAGAAGACCAAGACTCAGGACCTTAACCCCACTCAACTCTGCGTCCAGTATCGCTTCTTCTATCAGTTGATTCAATGTCTCTCTTTGGCTCTTGGAAATATACTATAAAAGGATTTTTAATCAATTAAACAATCAAATAATTGGCTTTAACTTGTTTTTTCAAAGAAAATGAACTGCATAATTAAATGATTAATAATAATAGTCCATACCTGTGCGAAGAATCTTGGAATAACCCATGATTGCACGGTGAGATTTTGGAATGTGTTGCTCTCCAAAACAAATGTTCGGCCATAAAAGCAGGTCATGATAGAAGACCAAAGAGTGAAAGGCCACATCAAGAAGAAGTACCATTTCGAAGTGTGGGGTTTGGAGGCTAAAGAAGCAAATCCTAAACGAAGATGGTAGATGGAATCTGGAGTTGTGAGGTGTGTTAGGTGCACAACATGTGGCGAGGTTTCTGTTCGCTTCAATGATGTTTCATATGTTATCTCTGTGGATTTGTCCACAGTTCCATAAATGTAGTCATATATTGGCATGAAAAGACTGTAATTGGATCGAAATTGAGTGTGATGCAAAGAGTGGAACCTATCGATCACACAAATAAAGAATCAAATCAGCTGATGATCAATTAACTAAATTATTGTTAATTATATTCTTCTATTGTGAAATATACTGCTATGTTCACTAAAAAATACATGAACTTGTAAGTGATTTTCACAATATATTTTATAAAAGAATATTCATAACATTTTACGAGATGAAAGTTAGGAATCCAAAAGTAACATAGGAAAGGGGTGGAATTAAATCAAGATTAAAATTATTACAGAAAGATTAGTATGTCTAGTGGAAATTGATATTAGTATTCAAAAGAGTTAGAGAAGAAGTTGATAATCATGCAGTGAGGTTGAATAAGGAGCATGGGTCAGAGCTACCCAGGGAATGGAGAGGGATGAGTCTTTCTCTATGTCGTGGTTTGAACTGCCACGTGTGTATGTTGTGTTGGATGTGTGTATTATAAGAAATAAATGATTAATACATCAAGAAATAAGAAAGAATGAGATTATCAATTCAAAACTATTAAATTAAACTTTATATTTAGCCATTTAGGAGTATGCACTTTCCATGAACATCGGGCCTTTATTTTTTTTTTTTGGTTAATACAAGTCCTTTCAATCCCAAGATATTAACCTAATTGGAAAAACTCTTGAATTCATAAATCCCATCACTTAATATTTTGTAATTAACATGATATTATATGCGGGATATATAAACCCACGAAGCTTTTATATAATTACCCTATAATGAAATGACATGACATGATTTCGATTCATTATCAAAGCAAAGCAGTTGGAAATTAAATTACTATGCACTTTCACAGCAGCTCCCAGCTGGTACCACTACTACGTGCACGTAAGGCTGTCGAGAAGCAGACTGCAGACCTAACTTGCCTTCTAATGTTTTGATGAGAGCCAATTATATTTTTTATTTAATGACATCCAAGCCGTCTAGAAAGCACCCTTATAATAAAGTTTGAAAAGGCTAATTACTTGTCTTTCTCTATTTTTTATTGATCCAAATGTGTTAGTTTTTAATGGATTGTTGCGTTTTTTTTATAGAATAATTATGTCTTTTCTCTCTCTGCTCCCAAGAGAAGTATGTACATCCTCATGATGCACATCTTGTCTAGTAGCAGACGTACGTTTTGTGATTTACATTTTAAGTTTTAATATAAATAATCAATCTGTTAAAAGTAATTATTTTCATGTGAAGGACCATATGCACATGATTAGGTATCTCATTAATTTTGAAAAAACATCTCCTAGTAATAATGTTGAAAAGACATATGTTCAATATCTCAATGATAAACATCCCCAGTCTTAGCCTGCTGCAATTCAACTATTAAATGATTGGGGATTCAAAATTGTTAGGTTTTGATGAGCATGAAAAATAATAATTATGATTATTTTATATGTCAAATATTTCAAAATATAAAATCGTGTATAAGAGGTACGAAAAACACATTTTCAATATATATAGGGGTGTGCACAAACCAAATTAGACCAAGTTAATCACTAACCCAACCTTTGGTTTAGATAAGACCTTCGGCCAAGAAAAAAAAAAACAGCTTGTGGTTCGGTCTAGTCTAGCTCTAACTTAAGATCGGATTAGACTAAACTTGATTCATTAAACTACTTGGACTGGTTCTAGGTAGTCTAAAACCTCAATTTATATCAAATTGGAAGAACAATTATTGTAGAGGGGGAGAGAGAGAGAGAAGGAACTTACGAGGGGGTGTACATGATATACTTTAAGAAAGGGAAGAAGGTGAAGAGAGAGTTAGGGATGAGCTCCAAGTTGCAGTGACCCAAGTTGTTCATGAAGTCAATGTATATAAGATAACCTGCATATGATACTATGGATGCCGTCCTTGTTATCACCGTTGTATACATTGGGATTGCGAATAACATAAAGTATGCCATGTGCTCTGCAAATGGGTGTATCACAGCTGTCCGAACCAACCAAAAAAAGGTCATATTTATGATAATAACTCACACACATATACATACCCACACATATAGAATTGATGAGAATGAAATAGATGTGAGAAAGTAATTAAAGATGATGAAAACATATATCCATACAAGTGATGGGCTCGGTGACGATGGAGGAATGGTGGTGAGAATGGTAGCGAGAGTAAAGAAAATGGTGATGAAGAGCTCTGTGCAACCAGTAGTACAGAAACTCCACAGGTCCCGCATGTAGAACTGCTGTGATAATCACTCCATCCGCTCTCCAGAATGGCATATTAGAAGCCTCTGGTACCAACATATACACAATGTAAGACGAAAGTGCATTTAACACTATTAGGTCATCCCTGCAAAAATCAATTAAAAAATACAAGAATTATGGGATAAACTTGGCCTAATTAGGTACAATAACTTCCATCTGAGTCTATGTGATTGTAGAAAAGTTCAAAAAGTTAACCTTCATTTAAAATCTTTTACATCACTTAATCCGAATTACTGTTCAAATCAAGTGGAAACCTCATAGCATTTCGTACCATTCAATGGGAGAATTTAGATGTTTTGTATTATCATGTCTTTTTTTTATAGCATCGTAGTCTAGTGACATGAGAGCTTTTTAATGAGTAAGAGGTTTTAGGTTTGGTCCCATTTGTAATCTCAAACCATTAGTTTTCACCCATTTAATTAAAAAAATATTATCCCGTCTCTGTTGATGTGAAAAGGGTGGAGAGCTATATAATGACATGATTTTGAGATAGGAATATAATGATCTATTTCCTCTCTCAGGTAATTAAAAAAGCACAGACTAAATAAATCTTCGTGTTGCTAAAGGCTCTCGTGGGAGCATGGGACACTAATTTAATTCGAGGTTTGGCAGAAATTAATATAAAGCATAGAGATCGGGAGACACACACTTAAAACCGAGGGCTCCATGCACGGTGTATGTAAGGTGTGAACCCTATGGATTCACAGCAATGAGTTATAGAGACCTTCAGTAATAATTACCAAAACATAAGAAGGACGGGAAAATAAAAATACATAGAAAATGTAAGACTCACATTTCAAGAGATATTGTTAAAATTAACTGTGTGAGTATGAGGGTGGGAAATTCACATATAATACTAAAAAAATACTGAATTACGGACAGAATTTCATTGTCAAATCATTTTAACGATAAAATTTCATCACCAATCAATTAGTGACATTAATTAGAAAATTTCGTTGCTAATTCATTATTTGTTTTAGTAGAATTAGAGATCATGCAAAAAAAATACATAAATTAAAAGATAAAAACTGTAATCAATCACAACTATTTAAATTGGGTTCTAACTCACATCCTTTCAGCATTTTTTTTAATTATTCAAATTAATTTTTTGGAGCTAAGTATCTTTTTCATTTAAGAAAAGCTCAAATTTTTCACAATGCACGAACTTTCATTTGACCCCACCAAATTTATTATTCACTAACAGACGGGTTCAGGTAGTAATTAAGAATCCATTCAAATGTCATTCATGAACAACTCTAGAAGCTACTAACTCCGATTCTATTTATAAGCTTTCAAATTTGGGTAGAAGTATAATCCATTTTATAAATTTCAATTTGGGTTTGTCTTAATATTTAATACATTTTTTTAAATGTTATCCTTGATTATTTTTCTCTTATCACATTTTCCTACACATTTTCTTTCATCCTTTTCCTTATTTGTTATAAAGGTATATTTAAAAATAAAAGTATATTTTTAATCTATTTATTATTTTTAACTAAGTTTAACTAATTTTTTTTAATCCGTAACCCATTTAGTGAGCTACAAATTAAAGCAACAAACACACACACATATATATGATAGATCCTTATGGTTAATCTTTACGTTTCTTAATAAGTGATGAAAACCCAAGCAACAAGAGATTATATATATATATATATATATATATATATATATATATATCTAAGAAGGACGAAGAAGAAGATGATTGGTTAATTACCAGTTGGTCTCTCTATCAACTTGTTCGAAATCGAGGCTCTTGTCAACGATTCTGTTTTTGCCTTTGGCAGTTTGATAGCGAGAAAAAGAAACCCAAAGCTGATCATGAAGCATCCTCACCAAAATATATGGAAATATCAGAAAGTATCCAACGTCCCTCTCATTTCCCTCCTTCGTTATCATTTTGTAAGTGCTGTGTGCCACCCACGGTGCCAGCAACAACCACTTCCATCATATTACAAAAACCATGTCAGCCAAACATTTCTGCGTGGAAACCTTGAACACACACACGCACGCACGCACTCTAAAGAAATAATGTAAGAAACCTTAAAGTCTCCGAGAGGTTTCCATGGCCAATTGGTCAGAATGCCTGGGTTCGTCGCCATTTTTGGAGAACACTGAGGCGAGGTGGTCGAATGATTCGAGAGATCAGAAAGATAGATACGTAGAAGACAACGTTGCTGCTCTGTGTACCAAGTCGGGCATACGGTTAGCCATTTATAAACGCACAAGTTTGTGTGGGTAGTATCTGTACGATCCATGTTGAGAGAAATAGCGCTGTATACTCCCTCCCGTCCTTGTTCCTAACTAATTTACAAATAACGAATAATTAATTAAAGTTTGTTAAAAGTAATAAATAGATCAAAAATATAATTTTTTTAAATATACCCTTATAATAAATAAAAAATATAATGAAAGAGAATATATGAAAAAATGTGATAAAAAGTGTGGAAATGAGAAAAAACAAATAATTAAAGATAATTTTTTAAAAAATGCCATAAATATTTAGACAACTCAAAATTGAAACTTATAAATTGGATCACACTCTTTTCTAAATCTAAAACTTATAAATAGGAGTATTGATTAATGAGATAATGAAATTTATTTCTTTTAACAAATTTTAACTAATTATTCTTAATTAATAAGGAAATGAGCTCCAGATGCCTAATGTTAATCTAAAATGAAATGTTCCTCGTGCATTGTAATGCATATATCTTGTGCAGAACAACGGTTACGTGTATTCATATACTGTGATTTCACTAATACTGGGATTATTACATAAGTATGGAGCATGGGAGATGTTTAATTCCATTAATTAATTAGTGTTAGTATAGATGTCGTCCTGAATAAATAAAATCATTCAATAACGCCGACCCACCAGGAGTAATGGAGCCAGATATTTCGGTTTCTTCGTGGGCCCGACGGATTTCATGGTGAATTAACCTATTGGACCACTTTTTTTTTTTTTTGCCATTATAGGGCCATTTTATTTTATGAACTTTAAATTTTCAAACAACCTAATGCGTTTACAGGGTCACTGTGCCTCTACCATAACAAGTGACTGTCGTGCCAAATTATTGTCCAAGAAAGTTGTGATTATAATGTTTGTGTCTGTCCATTTTCATGGCGTCGAATTTTCTGTGACCTTTGTGACATTTCACACTCCCCCTTCTTATAAATATAAAAGCTAATATTAGGATTTATCTTTATTATCAATATAAGATATCAATTCACTTAATTATCTTTAAATTTATAATTTTTTTTAAAACTCTCTCTATTGATTGTGCATCAGTGCATATTAAAAGGGATTTTCATTAAAAGATACAAATGATTAAAACTGGTATCTTAAAAAAATCAATACATTTTTTCAAAAAAAAAAGAAGTTAGCCTTATTAATTTTCTTAACCTCGATAAAACAATTATATAGCTCCCAGCCTCGTACGTTTAGGACTGCGGATAGTCGTTTTTTTTTTTTTTTTTTTAGTTTTAGAAAGTGCTATAAAATATTTTTAGATATACCCTTAATTAATGATTTTTCCTAATTCCTAATAAAAAAAATTAACCATGGTGCATTTGGAAAGAAGGAAAAGAAACTAGATACATATACACGGACAAGAAAACCTCCTTACTTTTCGTGAATTTGTGACGGGGTACTTCTTAGGGACCTGGAGAGTGTTCTTTCTCAGACATTTATATACTCCCTCCCCCCTGCTCCTAATATAATACCGCTATGTATTGTTGTTAAACTTACAAATTGAATCTTTGAATTTAATATTTTTATTTTTCAGCTTGTAAAAACATGTTGATTTATTTTTAAACTTATACTACTATAAATTCGGTTAAACTTGTAAGTTCACTCATCGGGTTTATCGTTTTTACATTTTTAATTTATAAAATCATGTCAACTTTCTTTTAAACTCATGCTAAATCTTATAATTTAATTATATTTAGTGACTTTACATATGGATTTCATAAAAATTTGTTTGTTGAATATAATAAATTATGAATGTTGATGGATTTAATTTCAATTATTTGGATTTAAAATATATTTAAATGAAATTATTGTCACTTTTATATTTTAATTATTTAAGTATATATTTTAATAGTAATTCATTAATAAAAGTAAACTTCTTACATTTATAATTTAAGTTTACATCTCTATTACTAGTTTGGTTAAACTCACGTGTTTGACAACCTTGCCACTGTATTCTTTTAATTTTAATTCTACTGCATACAATAAATAAAATAAGTGAGAAAAAATGTACAACATATTTTTATTTTCAATAGCCTTTACTTAATGAGGGCAATGTGTTATTTTTTTAGTATGAAGTGATTTACTGAGTGGTACTTAATTAATTTACAAACATTAAAATTTAATTAAATTGATTATTTCTTATTCTTGTATAAAAAATGTGTCATTTTGCCTAAACCCTCTTTTAATGAAGATTTAAATGCGGAAGACAGGGTGAAAAAATAATGATGATGTTTAGAAAGGTAATATTTAACAAATATTAAATGAGGGGGGGGGGGGAATTGAGGTTCTCTATTTAGTATTCTCTCCGTCCCTTTTTATAAACAATTTTAAACTTTATTACATAAATTAAAAAAATTAGTTAAAGATAATAAATAAGTAAAATGTGTGGTGGAGAGAGATAATGATTTAAAAAATAAGATAATAAATATATTGAGTATTAAAATAAATAATTAATGAGAATAAAACAGGGAATTTGCTACAAAAACTTGTAAATATTATTTATATTTAGAGACAAAAAAGAAATAATAATTATCACTTATAAAAAAAGACAGAAGGAGTATTAAAACAAATCTTTAAACTAAATTTTATATTTATGGAGCTGCAGATCACTGTGGTATGGGAGGAATGGTACCAAATGAATAGCTGAGTGGGTCACCATCCTCCATGTTGACTTTCTTGCTGAAGGACCCCCTTGGTACTATCTCGGTATCAATTACTGACGTGGGAGAAAGATCAGGAATTGGTTGATTTCTGTGGGTTGCTGGCTTGATTTTTTGTTCTTTTAATATTGTTTTTGACTTTACTTTGTTTTTTTCCTTCTGATTTTCAGTTTTATTGGTGTTTGTAAGTTCTATTTGACTTTGAATGAGATATACAGTACTATTCAGCTTAGAGGGATTAACACCATATTACTATAAAGCAGTTTTTATTTAAAAAAAATTGTGTTTCATTCATTTTAGTGAGAGTAACTAATATATATGTGTTGATCCTAAAATGTCACTAACAAGTAAAAAATTAACCTGTGTTTCAAAAGATACAAATAATCAAATTATTTAAATAAAAAATTGGTTAAAATTAATTAAAGACACTAAGTCATAAATACAACTTATTTTCTAAAATCTCTCTGTTCGAATATATTTTTAATTATTATTTTAAATTGTATACCAAATATCCCTTTCTCCTTTGGTTATATTTACAAGTGAAAGGTAGAATTTTTTTAATATATTTATAAGTTACACCACTATATTTTTACATGAATATATAATTTTATTCTTATTTGTTATTGTACATATTCTTGTTTTCCTAAAAAATATATGTGTAAATAAAAATAAAGTTAAAAATTATTAAACTTTAACTCAAATTTCTCATTTAAGTGAAACATACTCAAAAGGCAAAATGATTTATAAGATCGTGCGAATTGATCAAGAACGTAACACGCACAAATCCCATTAAATGTTATCTCCCACCTACCCTATCCAATCCAGCGGTTCCCACGTCCGAAGCCAATCAATTTCAGTCGGCATTCATGGGACTTTAAAATACCCATATGATCATAATGTGTTACTAATCAATGACTCACCCGCATGTTTAGACTGGGGATTTGGATGAAGGTATTGAGCTCTTCATCCTAATCACAAGACACTTGAATGTTTTATTTTAGTCATTCGTACAAAAATCCTAATATTATATTAATAAAATATTCTTAAATCCTAACATATTAAATTTAATTTTTAAAAAACTGTGGTTATTACAAAAAAAAATAATCATATTGATGTTAGGGTTAAATAACCAAAAATATATTTTTTAAATTAAGAGACCAAAATAAAAATTATATAAAATTAAATGACCAAATATATAATTTAATTAGTTCTTTCGAAATAATCCACATTGTCTGGAGGGCAACATTCATCCATTTTAATACATGAAGGGAAATTAAGCCTTATATTCATGGGTAAAAGTAGGCTAGAATCATTATCAAGAGCCTACAGTTGACCTAATTTGAGACTCATGCCTTAACCCTAAGTTCTATATTCTATTATTTGCATATAGACTTGACCATTTCATTCATCAGCCGTTCACCTCTTCTTCTCTTTCTTCGATCGCTGAAGACGGCAACACCAGATCACTCCTTCTTCTCTCTAATTGCGGCATTCGGTGAGCACAGTAATGTTATAAGTTTACTTCGGTGATACATAGATGAAATATAATCTCACTAGAAGGTATTTATCGTGGAATATGCTTCTTAATGTTATTGACTTTATTCATTTTGTAGGAGTCATCCAATTAATAAAAAATTATATTAAAGTCTTTTATTATTTCTGCGACCATGATGAGTTTTTATGATTATTTTTATTACTATTATAAAAAAAAAATCATCTTATGTATATAAGTGTAAACTTGTAATTGTATTAGGTTTTTATGAGATATTATAAGGAAATGAAAGTTTGTTATTTTATTCTAAATTTAAATTATATTTATTTAAATAATTAAATCATTTTGTGGGTTCAAAGTCTATTTAAGACATAAACATAAACTTCTAAATATGTTTGAAGGGCATGTGACTTTGTTCGCTTAGGTTTTTAAGTAGATTTTTAAAAAAAAAGTTTCAATCCATATCATTCTTTTGGAATCTCATATTAGAGGATTAAACCTTAAAAACTTATATACAGGCATAAGCTCATATTCAAGCCTTAGATCTTTGTTTCAAACTTAGACTTATTTGGCTAAAATTTAGGATCAAGTTGCAAATTTAATTTGTCCAAGAAATGTCACTTAACACAGAGTACTCAAAAGTTTTTTGGTATACAAATTTTCTCCCAAAAATATTTAGTATGTTAAGCACAATAACAATTAATTTAAGATACTAAATGACGTTGAAAAAATATCTTATGGTGCTAGAATTT